AGGAAGACGACGGCCGGTAGCAGCAGCGGACGGTATACGTTGTTACTGGCCGAGCCTTGAGCGGCCATTGCAATCGATCTGGCAGGATTCAGTGTGGTTCCCGTATGTAGATCTAGCTTCAGACCATATTACCATAACATGTTTCCGGATAATACAACTGAAATGCCAATTCCGCCTCGTTAGTACTGAATCAATTTCTGACGCTTCGTTGCCTATGCGAATCTGGCTATTTCGGCTAATTAGCAGCAGACTGAAGAAAATTCTGGGTCTGATTCGAGGCCGACGATGACCATCATTGAAGTCCGTTCGAAAACAGGAGATAATGAGAGTAAAAAGGCCTCGTACACGTACGAATTATCCCCTAGAGTCTAGATCCATGGCCGAGGATAGGTAAGCAGGTAGAGTGAAACTGCACGAGGTTGGTTTGTCTGGAAAACGTATGGCAACATCAGTGCCTGCACGGATCACGAACAAGGACAACTGCTGTCGGGTATTTTGCATCTTGTCTGCACAACGAAGGAACGATCATACCGAAGGAACGATCATACCGAAGGAACGATCATACCGAAGGATCACACACATCACACCACTGGCAGGCCACCGTGTAACCATCACACGCGAATTTTCAAGGTGACCACCAATGGCAGCTCGTCTGAATTACTTCTTCGAAACGTGAATCACCGCTTTGTAAACATTGATTACATGAACTGTGAACTGTGACCTCCCTATAAGGCGATTTCGCCAAACACCACCGTGTCCACATCAATCGTTTCGCAATGCATTGTAAGAAAGGTTCAGCTGAAAAGTAGCTGGTGCGGTGTGGACACAATTCGAACCAAAGCTGTTCTGAACCTCACTGCACACGCCCTCCGGGAATTGCTCGGTCCTTCTCTCGCACTCGATTTTCCCGCCTTTTCCTTTCCCTGGTCTGACAGTAAAGAATGGTCATGCTTCATGAGTCTGATGGGATGTATGGTGATGAGCTGTTATTGAGTCTCCTTTCTAGCCATTTTTTTCAAGCACCTAATATAGCTGACGTTCTTTAGATGAAGGTGGAGCCATGAAGCGAGAAAAATGGAGACTTTATGGCGGATGTCTATTCTGAGTTAGGTTTTTCCCAGTGTCTCCCAGTGTCTTACGCAGGTTTCTAATTATCATCAGATGTCTCCGGTCTTCAAGTTTTCAATATTTCAGAATAAAATCTCCTGAAGAGTTGCGAGAAACGACATCCAGCAATGGCGTTTGATAGGAAGCAGGATACGCACGTCCGGAGTCAGGGATCAGCGAAAGCATCTCCATTGCACCGTCCGCGTGACTCTTTCCCAGTGCATCAGCAGGTCCCAACGCGTTCATTTACTTCAGTTGATCCGCATTCGGCATCAAGACCAGGCATTCAGAATCACCCAGCTCCGGCTCATTATCACACCGACCTCCCTCGGCAACATTCGGATGTGCGAAGATCGCAGCAGCTGGAAAGGGTTCGGGAAGCTGCAAGAAACCGGACATGCAGCCAGCTCTATCAGTCCGTCAGTTTACAACAAGGACAGCATCTGACGCATCAGCGTGACAATTATAGGAAATCGGACCCTGGCAGATCACCTTTCGAAGCAAAAACGCCAAAATCGACCTATCTCAATGAAGCAGGTAATAATCTAGGGAGCCGTGCTGGTCTGTCAGCTGTTGGTCGTCCGCCGAGTAATTTTTCGAGAGATGAAGAGCTGTTGCAATTCAGGCGGCGTGGAGGGGTCATCAGGTGCGAGCGTCGAAGCCTCTGGAAGTGGGTGAGACCATCTTGGAGCTTCGGAAGCTGGCTCGGGACATGGAGGAGAGGCTTGATGATAAGGTCTTTGTAGACAAGGTCACGTCCGAGCCTCGCGAGAAGCTACGGGCGACGGAGACGATTATGTGCTGGCTGCTTCGGTTGGACGAGGTGCAGTCGCCGAACCAAGAGGTCCGGGCTCTGAGAAGAGAATTGGCTCGGAAATTGAATGAGCTACTGGACAAAGTGGAATCACTGGGAACTGTTAAAGAAGCAGCTCCAAACGCGAATACAAGAAGTGCCAGATCTGATGATCCTCCTTGTGGAAGCTTTATGGGGCTTGTCAGATTTGATGACACTGCCTCTGCAAATACCCTTCCAGAACAGGCTCAGAAAGTGCCTGAAAATGCTACGGACAGGGATGTTGGGGGAGCTGATTGTGCTCTTTCTTCAAGAGGAGCGAATTCTCCAGATTCAAGCATGAAGGAAGGCAGGTACAATCGCAAGAGCGTTGGCAGCAGTATTGACGCTGCTGGTGGGAAGGCTGAGAGGGGGTTTGGTGATGAGGAGGGTAGGACGGTTAAGAGGAGGAAGCGGAGGACGTGGAGGGACATGCTGTGGCGGTGGAAGGAGAGCTTAGGTGGCCTCTGTGGTCGGCGCAAGGATTTTTATGTTTAGTTGTTATTGTCAGCAGGGTACTCTAGCTTGTCCATGCGCGCTTCAGTACCGTTTTTGGCAAGCTTCTAAAGCTAGACAAGTTTGGTTGGCTTTGGAGTGCTCCTAGAAGCTCCAGTGCTTCCGTGGAGAGCAGAATCGGCTTGCATTGCATCGGTGTGCCTTCAAATGCCATTGCACAATAAATGGCCATGGTTATAAGTACCATAGACTGTAGTTGACATGCACATACCAGCATACCCTGTGTTCTATGAGACACGTTACTGGTGCTTCACGTCAAGCTACCATTGGGGGCTGCTCATCTGGCAGAGATACGGTACACTACAGCACGGCATTCCATCGCAAAACAAAAGGCATAGCAATGTGATTTGATACATTACCACAATATTGACAAAAGCTCATGATCAATGCAGTCAAACAAACCTCTGAGTAAAGTAACCTCTGAGTCAAAAAGTGATGGCACAGCTGCATGGGTGGAGTCAGATAGAATACTATAGGGTGTGGGGAGGAGACTTAAGGTGGCGAAGGTGGTGGTGGTGGCAGTAACCGTATCAGTGCATTGTGCAGGAACTGTACATAAACATCTAACGGGCCGGGGAAACAGTAATGTAAACAGTCCGTCTTATTCCTGTTTGGCATGAACCCGTTATGGCCATCCGCTCGCAACCCTACCATCTCCTCCACATCCAAATACACCCCTCCAACCTGCTCCACCAACTCTTTAGCCACTTGATTTTGCTTGGGGAATTCACCCCAGTTAAACGGCAGACTCCCCAGCTCTTGCCGCTTTTCCAACGGACGATCGTAGTCTTCACAATCCTTGTGCCCGGGGGGAGTATTCCTGTAGATAATGAGCTTATTCGGAAAATTGTGCCGGATAAATCGGAGAGCGTTTTGTACGCCGAAAATGAAAAGAGGTGTAGGGGTCCAATGCGGGCCCCTGTTTAAAATGATGACGTCTGCAGAGGGGATATCAGCCACACCGGATTGGCCCCATGGCATGTGGTCAAATACTGCCCCCTTTGGATCGAACAATGATAAGTGGTCGTTACGAACGAAATCCACCTTAAAGCCAGGGCATACCGAGGAGTTGAAAGTGAACCTGCGGCAAGTGGAGGGGAGAAGAAAGTCGTTTGGAGTGGGTGCGTGGAGAGGGGGGGGGGGGGTGGGGGGGTGGGGGGGGGAGGAGGATTCAGTATTTCCTATCTTCTTTCCCTACTTCCAACCTCACGCCATGTGGTTGACAAGCGCCTGCACCATCTGGCATTGCTTGGCCTGGATTCCCCCCGAAGGAAGAGGAAGGCTCACCATCTTGGCCGTGTTCCCTCTCAGAGCATCCACACACGCCTCTGGTCGCTCCTCCAGAGTCACCAACTCTTGCACCGGCTTCTTCTTTCCATCCCTTCCCTTGTTTGAACCCCACGTCATGTGGTTCACAAGCGCCTGTACCATCTGGTACTGCTTTGAATCTCCCAGGAAGGGAGAGAAAGGGCTAGACATAGAACTCACCACTGGCAAAACTCGTGTCCCATCTTTGTCGTATTCCCTCCCAGCGCGTCCACACACGCCTTCGGCCGCTCCTCCAGAGTCACCATGTCTTTTGCCGGCTTCTTCTGTCCATTCTTTCCCTTCCACCCCCACACCATGTGGTTGACAAGCGCCTGCACCATCTGGTACTGCTTGGAGTCCCCCAGGAAGAGGATTCGCCGGCCCCGCCCCACCCGCTCACAGAACACTGATGCGTTGAAGGGCAGCCAGGGGTTCGATAGGTCCACTGACGCTGCTGCCGCTGTTGCTGCAGCTGCCGCTGTCTCTGCTGCTGCCGATGCCGCTGCTGCCGCTGCAGCTGGTTCCGCTGTTGCCGTTTCCGCTGCTGCTCCTCCTTCCTTTCCATCCTTCTCCATCTGAGATCGCAAAAGTCGTTCCTTCACCCGAGCCTCTTCAAGTCGCGCCTTAGCCGTCCGCTCAAAGGATTTGATATCCTCGGGCACTTGAGGCGCCGGGCATGTGGAGGGCCCCACCACCCACTCATACTTCACCCCCTCGCGCACTGTCCACCCCGCCTCACTCGCCCCCGGCTTTATTGTAAATGCATCTGCACTAGCGTATGCCATGTGGGTTAGGTTTAAGCTTAAGTGTCTGTTATCGCAATAATTGCTCACGCCACGGTAATCCCACGGGAGGGTTCGGGGTTTCGGGTTGAGGACCCACTTTCCTTTCCGGGCAACACACGCTGCCCATTCCTTCCATTTTTTCACCTGCCCATGCCCGTGGATCAAGGACCCGGGGATGGATGTTTTCCCCAGGGCAGCTCGCGCTGCCCGGGTGCCTCTGGGCAGCGCTGGGCTGAAGAAAACCTCAGTGGAAAGAGCTTGCATGACTTGTGTGAGCAGGAGCCGGTCACATGAAAGTTTTTTGGGCTGCCCGAAAACGTTGAGTAGATTGCAGAAGAGAGTGTGGTGGCGAAGGGAGAGGGAGTGAGAGAGAGTGCGGTGGGAGGAGGAGGGATGAGAGGAGGGTTGTATCTCGAGCACGACAGCAGTAGGCGGCATGAAGAGAATAAAATCTAGAGCCTCCCCTGGTGGCGAGATGAGGAGGAGAGCGCGAGAGAAGATAGCCCTGGCTGTTGGGCGGGGAGGGGGGAGGTAGGGGCGGGGGGAAGGGGAGGGGTTTTGGACGGGTGCATGTGCTCTTCAACCCCCCCCCCCCCTCCCCCCCCCCAAAAAAAAGAAAAAAGAAGAAGAAAAGAAAAAAAATCGAGTACTAGTTCGATATCCCCCTTACTCACATTCCCTCCCTCCAAACAATCTTTTCTTGCTGGCCTTCTCATCACCTCCTCGTCCGCACTAAACCAAAGCAAGTTTTGAGGCGCCTCAAAACTATACCCCATCCCAGCCCTCCCACCCTCATGCCTCACCCCCCCATTATCTACTCACTTCCTCGCTCACCTCCCTTCAAACCCATCTCACCGTCTCACCTTCCTGCACGCCCATCGCCCCTCGAAAGTAAATCACCCGCCCTTCCTCGCTCACCTTTCTTTGTCAATTCCTCCTTCCTCACTTCCATGTCTCCTCGCTTCAAACCCATCCTCCCTTCTGCCTCACCTTCCTGCACACCCATGCCTCCTCGGAAGTACACCACCCGGCCGTGCCACCAGTTGTCTTGGATCATGCCATCCACCATCTCCTCCACCTTATCCAATAGCATCGCACCAGGTGGCACCGCCACCACCACCACCCAGTCCTCCCCAACCACCCCCCTCACCCCCGCAAATCCGTCCCCATCCGCGTCAACAGCCGCCCCTCCTGGAGCATACGCCACGTCAGCTGCCACGTCAGCCGCCACGTCAGCCGAGACGGGCCCGCCAGGTGGCGGGAGCGGGACAGGTAGCGGGCGGCGGAGTGTCCAGTTGGCGTGGAAGAGGGGGAGGCCCGCGGGGGGGAGGAGGTGGTGTGATCGCAGCGAGGAGAGGAGGGATGGGGAGGGGCGGGTGCAATGCTGGAAGCAGGGCTGGAGGGGGGAGAAGGGGGGGGGGTAAAGGGGAGGGGGAGGGAGGAAGGAGAAGGGGGCGAGAGGGTAAAGGGAGAACATGTTTCGAAGGGAGGAGAGGAGAGAGGGGGAAAGGCGGGTGCAGTACTGGAAGAAGGGCTGGGGGAGAGATGGGGAAAGAAGGAGAGGGAGGAGAGGAAAGGGACGATAGCAGAGCGGGACGAAAGGCATGACTGTACGAGCAAAGAAAGAATTCAGAGACACGTGTTGGGGGAAGAAGTGAGGAATGTCAGTGCAAAGCAGATCAACAACGATCAATAAATCAATGACAACTTCACCCGAAAGCACCTGAATCACAGACAACTGGGCTGCGGATCACCTGAATCAGAGAGAATCGAACTGAAAAATCACCTGAATGAGTCTTTGCACGAAGAGGAGATGGGTGGGTTTGTCTGGCTGGGGTAGCAGAGTGACTTGATGCGGTGGGGCTCCCAGGTAGTGTGGTGCCATGACGTGCAGCCACTGGTGGGGTGGACGAGAAGGCAAGAGAGGACAAGGGACGGATGGATAAGGGACAAGGCAAGGAGGGAGTGTGACTTGATGCGGTGGGGCTCCCAGGTAGTGTGGTGCCATGACGTGCAGCCACTGGTGGGGTGGACGAGAAGGCAAGAGAGGACAAGGGACGGATGGATAAGGGACAAGGCAAGGAGGGAGTGTGACTTGATGCGGTGGGGCTCCCATGTAGTGTGGTGCCATGACGTGCAGCCACTGAGACGGGAGGGGAAGGATGGGGATAGAGAAGGCAGAAGGGATGGGGATAGAGAAGGCAAGAGGTGGGAGTGAATGAGGCGGCGCTCCCAGGTAGTGTGGTGCCATGACGTGCAGCGCAGCCACTGATGGAGGAAGGGATGGATGGGGATAGAGAAGGCAGAAGGGATGGGGATAGAGAAGGCAGAGAGATCTGGAGTGAACTGGAGCCGTGAGGCAAGAGGTGGGAGTGAATGAGGCGGGGCTCCCAAGTAGTGTGGTGCCATGACACATGAAATAAGAGTGTTTTTGAGACGTCTCAAAAACACTCTTATTTCACGCAGTATGGTGACATGACATGACATGACATGCAGCCACTGAGGAGGAGGAATGGGGGAAAAGGGGGAGAAGACACAGAGAGGACAAGGGACAAGGAACGGAGAGGCAAGGCATGGAGAGAGGGAGACTTGATGAAGGGGGGCTCCCACGTAATGAGATGCCATTACGTGCACTGTGCACCCACTGCAAGGATTAAGAACATATTAAAGTTCGAGGCACGATCTTGCAACAAGTGTTTTGAGACGTCTCAAAAGTCGTCTCAAAACACTTGTTAAAGTTCTTGCACGATCTTGCAACAAGAATCAGTTATGGGATGAAAGGAGCGAGGCGGAAGAAGAGAGGGAGGTGATGCATGAGGTAGAGGAAGAGTTGGGGGAAGGGAGGAGAACGTAGGAGAGGGGATAAGAGCAGGGGAAGAGAGGATAGACGAGCCGTGCTCAAGGGGCGAGGGGGAGGAAGAGAAGGATGTGATGCTAGAGGTGGTGGAAGAGTTGGGAATGGGGGGGGACGAGGAGTGCGGAGGAGAGCAGAGGAGAGCGGAGGAGATAGCAGGGGATATGCAAGGCTTGCGAGATAGCGAGTCTCACCTTGCGATCCTGTACGAGGAATCGAGCCCCATCGGCCAACAACGTTGGGAGGAGAGGAGCGAGGGGGAGGAAGAGAGTGAGGTGATGCACTAGGTGGTGGAAGAAGGAGGCCCAGGGGGGAGAAGAGGGGGAGGAGAAGTAAGAGGAGGAGGGGGATGTGAGTGTGTTGGATTTGGAGGGAGGGGCGGCTAGGTTGATGGCGAGGGGATGAACGGTGACTGGTGTTGATGCTGGGTATGTGAAAGGCTGAGCTGGCATGGCATGCATGCAATCACAAATCATGCAACGCATATTCATTCACACATAAATGCAATCATTCGCATGCAAAGACAAATCCGCATAATGTACAAATGAAGAAAGGAACGAAAGATGAGGGAGAGATGTGAAAGCGGGCAATCAGGGACAAATAATGACGATGAACCGAGAACAATAAAGAAAGAATCAATAAAGATAAAAAAAAAGTAGATACATGCATGTAGGCAGGCCTGATTCATATGCATGATTGCAGGGGATATCACAGAACAGAACTGCATCTGACACCGCACTAAACCGCACTTCACCGCACTGAACCGCATCTCACCTCACTGAGCGCCCTCCTCCTACCACACGTGCCCTACCAGAGGAGGTGAGAGGCGTTGAAGACCCACCCATGCACGACACCCCATCTCCCACTTACCTCTTCTCACCGCACTCAACCACTCCTCACTGCACCACACCGCATATCACCGCGCTCAACCGCATCTCACCTCACTGAATGCCCATCTCCTGCTGCACCCGGCCAGAAGAGGTGAGTGAGACGCGTTGAAGACGTGCCCCTGCCCCAATGGACAACACCCCCATCTCCCACGTACCTCGTCTAACCGCAGTAAGCCGCATCTCACCACACCAAACCGCACCTCACCGCACTCAACCGTATCTCACCTCACTGAGCGCCCTCCTCCTGCCGCACCCGCCCGGCCAGAAGAGGTGAGAGGCGTTGAAGACCCGCCCCTGCCCGTCCACCCACACGCCCCTCAACTCCACCACCCGCCCCGCCCACCCCCTCCCCCCCCCATACCACACCCCTTTCCCCACCCCCTCCCCCTTTTCCCCAACCACCTCCTCCGCCTCCTCCTCCTCTTCACCATCCCCTTCCCCGTCTCCCTCCGGCCCCTCTCCCTCCTCCCCCGCCCCTTGCTTCACCTCCGCCTCTCCCTTTATTACCCACGCCTTTAGCCCGTCCTCTTGAGAGGCTATGGCAAGGGAGCAGTTGGGCAGTAGCACCATGCCTGAAGTGATTTCCTGTGAGCTGATGGGAGGGCATCTTAACCGCACTGCACCGCTTGATGCTCCTGACTGCTGCAGCCCTTCCCCTGCTCCCTGCTTTCCCACCAGACGCCTCCTCATTGGGGCTCCAGACACTGATGATGTAGCAACAGCTGTTGCCGATGGGGAAGCATGAGCTAGGGACGTATCCTGGGGGGTTGATGGAATGCTGCTGCTAGAGGCACTTGCTGTTGATGGGGCAGGATTCGCTGCTGATGAGGTGGCATTATTTGCTACTGATAAGGCAGCAGCTGGGGGAGTTGATAAGCTACTGATAGCGGCAGCTGCTGATGTGTCACCAGCACTCACATTGGCATTGGCTCCTTTTGCATTAAGATGTGGTTCAATCAGAGTAGGAATGTCGTGATTCGCTGGTGAATTGTTTTTGTCTAGAACTATACCACCGTTTTCATTCACCTGCCCGTCCACGAAGTCCGGGTTCCAACACGCCTGTATCCCCTGCCCACATCCTGAAAATTCAGGGCAAATCGCACCTTTACACCCCAAATTCGGCAATGCCACCTGCTCCCTCCGCTTCTTTCCTCCCTTGTCTTCCCCCTCGCCGTCTTTAATCACATCTACTCCGGAAACTTCTGGAAAGAAACTCAGGCTGAGAGGCGCCAGCTGGCTGCGTGTGATTGGCTGCTCGAGGCGCCGGACCTCCCGCGATCTGTGGCGGCCCAACCCGCCGCGTCCTGCGGCGCTTATTGCGGCGGACATGCCGTCTGCGCTGCTCCGCGTTTCGCCAGGGTCGCCTGCTGCCAGAGATCGTCGCACGAATGTCGCATGGTCGTGCACCACGGGCGACGGCAAAAATCGCCGATCCCGCCATGGGCCTGACCAATCCTTCCCATCCTCCCTGCCCTCTCCATATGGTCGCGCGACTGAAATAGTCGCACGATGTCGCGAGGGTTCGGGATGAAACGCCGGAGGCGACACGGCGAATGCGGAGAGGGAGAAGGTAAATTGGAGAAGGAAAGCGGAGCGAAGAAGCAGGATGGCGTTGGATTTACGACGCGTAGGCATTCGGAAACGCGATAGATGGTAACGATGCGGAGCGGTGGTTGATCGATAGCTAGACGTGCGACAGTCCATGGCCTTACCGAGAACAACCAATTCCAATACATAAGTGGTCAATTTGTGATTCTAGGAGGCTCATTTGAGAGAGCACAAGTTTCTGCCAGGGCGTGCGTGCACTGGCAAGTTGCGGCTTCGTAGTGTCGCTGTTTCTGTAACTCTCTCGGCAGAAAGGAGTTTCAAAACGACATGTGGCTCAACGTTTGGTCGAAATAGTTTAAACACGAAAACAGTTCACAATTTCTAGATGATGCTCCCGCATCGGAAACACGTCCTTCGAATGTCAGAATTCGAACTTCGATTCCCCCCTCCATGATCTGGGGAAATGTATTTGGAATGTTTACCACAGTTGACCACGCATTATCCTACTACGAACCACCAAACCGTGTATTGCCAGCCTTAGTCTTCCAACCTGGGCCTTGGGGTTTGCATATTGTGTAAATCTCACGCTTCCACCTCGCTGGTATATATCATGAGCATAGAACTCTTCTCTTCATCTTTCAACAATCCTTGTTGGAGTCAGGCAAAGCTTTCCATGCGTTTTGGAAATCAGGAGAGCCCGTTCGAGGCAGGTACAATTTTCAGTGACTATTACTCCTTTCATGCCGAGAACGTGCCAGTCCCATCATAGCATCATGTGTGGAACCACCGTCGTGAACCAAAATGCTTCCTGGAACGTTAGTGAGAGGATGCTTTCCTTTGCTCAGCCTGGACTCACTACAACCATTCCCCTCGCAGAAGCCCTAAGCATTAAGAATAATGTCCTCTTGCTTCATCTGCAGTGGCAGTGATTTCATATGCATGCAGTCAGTTTGCCCGAAATGTGTGAATGTTTCCTCAACGATTGATAAGTTGAAGAAGGACGTCGAGGATTTTGAGAAAACGAAGAGTAAAGCAGAGGATTTGAAGATGTTTGCAGAAAAGGTGAAAGGCATGCGGGATGCATCCTTTTGTGACATATCGTTAGAGACAAATGATGGAAAGGTGATTCGTGCTCACCGCTGCATTCTCGCTGCATGGTTAGTTGCCTCCCCTCCCCGTTTTATTTCGCCTTTCACAACGCACGAATTTGTAAAGCATAATTTTGTTAGGGGACTGTTTCCAACTATGTCATGCTTTGTCTTCGCAGGTCTCCTGTCTTCTCAAGTATGTTCAGCAGCGGATTTGAAGAGAAGACTAACCTGGTTCAAATACGAGATATGGATCATCCTACTTTGGATCGTCTTCTCACATTCATCTACACAGGAGTTGCGGACATAACAGATGAAACGACCAAGGTAACATAACATGCCAACGAGGAACCTCTCAGATCATCTGTGGCTCGCATGTCATACTGCGGATAGTAGCGCATATGCGCTTATAATATATTCATTTTTTTTAGGGGGGGCGCTTGTAATTGAGTAACGGCCATAAGCGCCGGCGCTTTTATAAAGGCAAAAATGAATTTCTCTGTAAAGGATATCATTATGAAGCCGTGAATAAGGCGAATACAACACTGTACCATGCACGCGGGGTCGTGCATGGAATGACGTCGAAACTTGCCGCGGTTCGATTTCCCACCGCACAAAACCCGTCCCGGTGCAACGCACCTGCCAGCGCTGTGAGAATCCTAGGCAAAGAGTTGTATTGCAATGTCGAGAGTTTGGTACAAGAATGAAACCTAAGGGGTTGTACCCCACAGTGAGTACCCCACTAAAGCCTATCTAAATAACAACATATACACATATGTTTGACACACCCCCATAGGCAAAGTGGGGGAGAACAGAGGGTCACAAGGCCAGGCAGAAAGTGCAAAGTAAGCTCAGGGTGGATCACAACATCACCACGCAGTCTGAGCACAAGCAAGAAGGCCACAAGGCCAGTTCACATGCAGAGATATATATGGAACAACAACAGTACAGTGATATCTACCTACAAGAGCTACATATAAATCATGGTACAAACAAAGCCTACAGCAAGTGAGGAAGCGTGGGCACAATGTGCAGAAACGCTGATGATCACCAGGCGGAAGCGCCTTGGTGAATATATCAGCAGTGTTGGCCCGAGTGGCCACGTAGGTAAGACGAAGCTGGCCACGCTGCTGCAGCTCTCGAGCAAGGAAGTAACGGAGAGCGATGTGCTTTGTTCTGTGCTCCAGTCTATGCTCCTGACACAAGGCAATGGCGGCCTTGTTGACGACGTACAGAACTGGAGGAGAACGAGGCCGCTCTCCCAAGTCGGTCAGCAGGTAGGTGAGCCAGCGCAGCTCCTGTGCAGCCATGGCTGTGGCGTAGATCTCTGCCTCACAGCTGGAGCCGAGAACTGAAGACGAACGTGTAGAACGCCAGGAAACTGAACCAGAACCAAGGCTGAAGGTATAACCCTGTGACGACCGCTGCGTAGCCTGGTCGTCAACCCAAGAGGCGTCCGAGTGACCAGTGAGGACAACGCCACCCCGTCCTCCAAGCACGAGCCCCATGCCCGATGTACTGCACAAGTAGCGTAGTACCCTCTTGGCAGCATCCATGTGCACCTTTCGGTGCCGACCAGGAGCCACGTAGCGAGCCAGAAGGCCAAGAGGGTACGCAAGGTCAGGACGAGTGCAAGTCATCAGGTACATGAGGCAGCCCACTAACTCTGGGTAAGGACCACTCGGCTCTACGGACTCGTCCGAAGGTGGAGCTGAGAGCGAGTGACCTGTAGCTAGAGGAGTGGCCTGTGCTGAGGACCAGGTGAAACCAAAGCGCTGAAGGACCTGCTGCACCATGTGTGACTGAGTCAGTGTGATGGTGCGGCGTGCTCTGTCCCGGGTGATCTGCAAGCCAAGGTAGTTGCGCAGCTCACCCAGGTCTGTGCACGTGTGTCTCTTCTGCAGCTCCGACATCATCAG